GGGCTCAAACTGTGACTCTGCTGCCACACAACACACACAACACAAGTGTTTAACTGACAACGTTTCACTTTTTTCATTTAAATTGAGTCAACAGAAGATAAAAATAGTTTGAAAGTAACGGACAGATTAATGCAGCACCAGAATCATGAAGTGAAGAGGAAGCTGAACATGGAAGAAGAGAAATGAGAAAAAAAAGAGAGACAAATGTTAAAAATCTCGATTCAGCACCGTCGACTCTTTCTTGTAGTGTTCAGTTATCTCCTGGACGTCTGCTGTCCTCTCCTCCCTCTCCTTCTCTAGTTCCCTCTTCCTCTCCTCCCTCTCTCTCTGCAGCTCGGCCTCCTGGCTTTGACTCTGTGTCGACCAATCAGAGCTCTCCTGGCGTAAGCGAGACACCTCCTCCTTCAGTTTCAGCGTCTCCTGCTGAGACTCCTGGAGAAGAAAAGAGAGAGAAAAACAGGTTGAGACATAAAAATATACCTTCCAACAAACCAGAAAATGTCTTTGCAGATTACACAGAGATCCTGACCTTCCACCAACGTACTGAAGATCTTTAAAAAAAGGTCCTTTGAAAGTAACAGTCCCTGCTTCACAGAGACACACTTGTTTTAGTCCCATCTATCCAAAAAAGGAAACTTGGTGTTTCCACTCTTATGTCTGCTTACATCACGTCATGTGATTTATATACATGCTGGATTCTGTCTATCAAGCAGCACTTTTATTTATTTTTACCGTTATTTATTATGTAAAAAAGAAAACTCATCCAGTGCTCCCGACTTTTCCAGCACTGGCAGTCCACATTAGTCCTATCGTTGTCTGGGATTCCATTTAGGATAAAGACCTGTACTTACATCAATCTGACTCCTCTGATCTGAGGTCAGCTGCTGAAGACTCTGGTTCTCGTCCTGCAGCTTCTCCGACACCAGCAGCAGATCCTGGAGCTGCCACAGAAGCAGAGCAGAGGAATAAAATCACAATTCACCAGAAGAAACGCAGAAATAAACGAGAGGAATCTGTACCTGTCTGTCAGCGTCTAACAGCCTCTGCTGGTATGAGCTGAGCGTGGTCCTCAGCAGCTGCAGGACTTCAGCAGGAAGACTCTGTTTCCCATCATCCTCTGCAGGTTGCGCTGATGGTTCGCTGGTGTGCTGTTGCAGAGCG